GACATTGGTCAATATTGCCACCTCTACAGTATGATTTAACTTTAAACACGCTAATTTCCATACATTGTTAACCACGTTTTTTTTTTCGTTTGTGGTGGCTCCCTAAAAGTCCATGAACTTCAAAATTTTTTTCACTTGTTATTGTAATCATGAGCTTTCAAAAAATACCATTCGGTGCATTCTGGAGCTGTCAGATCTGGAAAGCTGGCCAGCTGGTTTGAAAACGGAATAATGTGGTCATTGCTAAATCCTTTTACTACATACATGATAATTGTGTAATGTGTAGTATAGAAGTTATGTTGCGCCGACCCTAATTGATTTGGTCTAAGTGTCTATGCGTTTCGACAACGACTACCTACATCATCTAGACGTCCAAAAAGTGGATTTTCTCCAACGATTAACCAGTGCAAGTCGATCTTTAAAAAAAAGGTATCTCAATTGGGTATGTAAAATGTATAGGTTTAATATTTTTTTCTAAAACTTTATGCAATTTTACGAAACTAATTTGATTTTTTTGATTATTTGACTATCCCTTATTTTTTTATAATTGTTTAAAAGTTTTTCATTGATGACGTCATTACTGGGCAACTAATGAAACAAACAACTTTATTTACATACTCTTTGCGAACAACCACCATGCAAATTTTATTGCAAATTCCTGGATCTGTTCTGTCAATGTAGAATGCGGAAAAATAAAGTTATTTCTTTTTCTCTCAAACGGTTTTCTGTAAGGAGATTGAGATAAAATATTGTCTGTCAAATCCCTTTAATTTTCGAACGCGACTCTTTCGCCATTTTATAGTGTCAACAATTTATGGTACGTCAAGTGTCAAAGTCTTGTAAACAAAGTGCGATTTATCAGTTTTTTTCTTGAAATATTATTTTAGCAGTGCATTTTTGTGATAAAAGACTAAATTAAGGAAATGACATCATGCCTGGCTGCTGTGCTGGCTGTTCCTTAATACAGTGCGGCGTGCGTCTTATTAAAAATCGCCCTGAAATTAGTTTGCACACGTAAGTACACAAATCTGCTATTTTACTTGAACTTTATAAGATTATATGTAATAAAAGCCACGAGCAGCTATTTTTCGCTATAAAGCAGCAAACTATAAACGTTTTTTTCCCCAATATATCATTAATTTCTTTATTTCTGCCGATTTCATACAAACTGATCGTCGGCTAGGGTTGGGGTAGTACATAGTCACGGTATCGATATATTTTGCCAGAATTCGTAAGAATGGAAGGAAATAATGAATCTTGAGAGTTCAATTCAGAAAGTTATAGGTAATGTGCCAAAGTTACCAAGTTATTTTGTATATACCTGTTTAATAATTTAAATATTTTTTACAGATAACCAAAAAATGAAGTTAAAAGAAGGAAATGACTTGATATTATTGGCACCGAAAATATAAATCCACGTCATGGACAAATATTGACATTGCTCCCTGTATTCTGGTGTCGAGTGTTATTATAACAGAACTCTGGATAAGTTATGCCAACGTGAAGAAGCCTTGCCTTGCCAACCACTTTTTGGTAAAACCTAAGGAAAATGATAGATCTGTTTTGACTGACCAGCAACAGGAACAAAGTGGAAGCAAAAGGAAAATTTCTGGAATAGCACAAGAAATTTTGTTATGAATAGTTATGATAAATTATTATTTTTGGCTTTTGTTTGATTATTATTATTATAAATTTTTACCCCTACAACTTGTTTTTCTTTTTAACAATTCATTTACTACATACAAAAAGCAGATAAGTATTATGAAAATTCACAACAACATAAGCATAATACAGTAGTAAGGTACCTACACAAAAAATATCAACAGCGTAGGCATAATGCCCGTCAAAACCATCATCATCTTCCTACCCTTATCCCAACTAGGCAGTAGACAGTTACCGACTATTGATATCGATTTTTGGGTCCAAAATGATTACAACCCTACAAAAATCCGCCATTTTGTGAGTCTAACATTGTTTAGGTATTCACGCACATTCAGAGGGTACAGCCAGTCCATAGGTTTGTAATGTCTTTGGCAAATTCAGTGTTATCGATAGTAGTAGGTACTATCGATAGTTTTGCAACACTACATCAAACGTCCAACTGACATGGCAGAAGCAAGCAAGGGTGAAGCAAAGAGTAGGTAACTTTTATTGGGGAGGAAGTTCGTTATAGGCGTCTCGAAAGAGTTTCATTTAATTTTTTGCACAGTATGCATATCACAAAGGTCAAATTAAGGTTATTTAGATTTTTTCAAAAATAAAAGTGATCTTTAACTTTTTAGAACTAAAAACATGAAAATACTATAAAAGACCAAAATATCTCCAAATGGATTTCTTATTTTACGTCTTCGAGTTAAGCTTTACATGCCCAATTCTGCTAAACTTACCTTATTTTTTACTAAACTCTCTTTATAATATTTACAAAACTCCGCTACAGAACTAATTAGGTCGTGTCATGAGAATCTCCGGCAGATGACGCTCCGTTATACCTTTATAATAACCTTGTAATTGAATTTCGAATCGACTAATTTGTGGTCCGTGCGTAAAACGAAACGTAAAGTTGGCTATTAAGGGCGGACACCGCGGGAATGAGAACCTGCCTAGGTTTAAGTAAGACAAAAAGTATATCATAAACCCTACCCAAACAGCCAGGGCCAACCGTATGGTGGCGGTTAATCTACCACAAAAGCATTCCCAAGGAGGGTTGATGTCTGGTAGGTGGCCGGTCGTAAAATTCAGCCATATCCTTTGCAACATTTTGTGTTCAACGAAACGTGTTGCGCCTGGCCCAAGAAATTGGGATAGGGGCAGGAAGATGATGAAAAAAGTATATCATGATCTGGCTGCTCTTCATCATCTGCCTGCACTTATCCCAAATCAGTTGGGGTCAGGGCAAGATGTTTTGTTAAAGCGCAAAATCATGTAGCAAAATGATTTAGCAATGTTTTATGACCGGCCGCCTGCCTGACGACAACCCACTTTGGGAATGCCATTGTAGGTGGTATCACCGCCGCCATGCGGTTGACCATAGTTAACAGATATTAAGCCGAGGTCAAAAACTCTACGTCGTCTTTTATGAAACACCCTGAGTGGACTTGGGGGTGGCAGTATTCTTAGACGCTACCACACGGCTGCCACTAAATCGTACATGTGCCTGATAAACAATTTATGGCAAATAGATACTTTTTAGGTTTGCTAAAAGTGCATTTTCCCCTAAGCACGGTGCAAAATAGGTATTGACCTTTTTAACAAAATGGATGTTTGCTTGTAGTTAAATTAAAATTAAATTAAACTTTGTTTAAGTTAGCATTTCATGCTTTGCGTCTCGGAGTTGACTTGAATAATTATTTTCTGACAAAAATATTTATTATGAGCTTTACTTTAGCTTAAAGAAACTGATTCTTTATTGTAAGAAAAGATTTATCCCTTAAAAGATTAAAAGTTTTAAGGCAAGTAGGTATATAGAAGGATTTATTTTAACGCTAAATGTACCTAGGAAAATGTTAAAAAGAAACGCAAACCGACAATTCAAAGTACAGAATGTTTTTAAAATTGGTTTCTGATAATAAAATATCTACGTCACTGACCAGTGACATCATCTCACCCGCCCCGTAGGGTTGACATGACTTCCTTTATCTACGGTCTAGCTATAAATCACGTCTGTCGTTCAGCACGAAACTCCTCCTTAACAAACAAAACTTTCTTCGTTAATGATGATAAATAGCCATCAATGAAACTTGACCGTCACGAATCAATCAACGCTAAAAGAGAACAAATCAATCAACGTTGACACTGAATTGACTCCGATCGACTTTACGGAAGCATATTTTAACCTAATTACGGAAAATGGAGTAGGAAATTAAAACGTTTCAACATTATCGTGTTTTGAGAAGACAAAATGAAATGAAAACATTTTTGGAATGATCGAATTCGCAAAACGTCCCTTTCTCACAAAGGGCAATTTTTGTGTGTGAAAAAAGAGAGGAACCGCCATATTTTGACGATGTTGCGATCTTTTGGAAACTTCTCAGCAAAAAAAGTCGACTAGAATCTGGTTAAGTACAAGATGTATCGTATTCGAAAAAAAATAATGTGTTAAACAGACCTTTTCATAAAAAAGTGTATTTATTGTATATCGTATTTACTTACGAAATTGCATGCATTCAAAAACACCCATTTTTCTCACGGCAAGACCATGTTTAGCACAGCGCTAATCAGATGCATACAAATTTTGAATTCCCCATTACTACTTACGTTAAAGTAACTTGAAACACTATTTTTTGTAGTGGTTACTTCGTTTTCTATTGCTTAAATTTTCTAGCACTTAATTCTTTAAACTTACCATCATCAAGATCAATGTCTTCTTTCTCTTCAATAGTCCTGGCGCCATCGGGCAGGTCAACCTTCAGACCCTTCATCTTGAAGAAATCCTTCATCAGCTTCAGGAAGTATTTCGCCAGCTCCGTCCATTCGGAGAGTATGCTTCTCGGTTCTGAAGCTAGCACCTGGAAAAATATTATTATTTTTGTAGGTATTTAGCAATATATCTGTTAGACTACTTCTGCAAAAACGTGCGGTATCACTTCCATGAGTCATAAATGTTTTGCAACAACTCTTATGAGTTTTGTCTTCTGTGATCCTAATAAGTGGTCGCACCTATAGGCAATTCCAAACCTGATGATGTGATTTGAAGCTGAAAGAACCTGTACCTTTTTTAATGTACTTAATTACTTGTAGGGGTAAGATTTTGGTTTTTATCATCATTATCGTCACTAACAGCCATAATAGTATCTCTGGCTACAACCCCAACCTTTCGTGCGTTTACACTCTGAAACTTTGGCTGATTGATAATATTGGGCTATAGAGGGGAATAAATAGCCTTAGGCGGTTCTTTCGTTGCAAATCTGTCACCATTTCAGGCGACCCATAAGAAATAATGCCAATAAGAAAATTAAACTATTAATCATCAAGAGTTTAAAAAGTCCTACAGGGTAAGCCAGGCGCCCGTAGCTCAGTTGGCAGAGCAGTGGTATAGTTTTCCACAGTCCCGGGTTCAAATCCCTGCGGTCGCTGATAAATATTTTAATTTATCAAACTAATTATTATTTTTGACGTCACTAAGGCAATTTTTCAAATCAACGATGAACTTTTTTCAATTAATTCATTTCAAATCATGAACTCTGGTCACGCCAAACGCTAGTTATGCGCTAGTCCTTACAAAGTAGTTAGGCCATTTGACAAAATGCAATCAAGCAGAAGTAGCAACTTTATATTAGACGGATCTCCCACGTTCGTTCGTGCTAAAGAGATAGGATGTATTGCATCTACCATGATAATTGTAACAGAAACAGATGCCCACGCAACCAACGATCGATGCTAACGAACGATCCTGCGTCAACGTTGGTCTTTAATATGGGGGGTGCAAAATTTCCTTGCATCAGAAATAAAATGGGTCAGCGCTGCGCTAAAAATGAGCAGGAACGGACTTTAGGTGTGTGACACGCGTTAGGCACCTGTAAAACATAAACAAAATTACCTCAGCTTCCTCTTTCACAGCCAACTCCTTAATTATATCTTCGTCTAACGGCACAAAACTTATCGCTTTATTCGCTCTAATAGTTTCATTTGCAAACATGTCTTCACCAAAAATGGTTCTCTTAGCAATTTTCAGAGCCTTATATTTCACACACGCTAATGCTTCTCCTCTTATGAAGCAGCCATCTTTGACGAATCTTAAGTAGCCATCTTCTGATGATGAAATTTGCTGGATTGACAGAAGAAAGAAGAATATAGCTGATGATGTTCTTTTTGATGGCATTGTTGTTTGAAAATCTGAAATAGGAAATAAAATAAAGAATTTAGATCAAGAATCATAAATCAAAACGAACTGATGGGGAACTACCTATTTATACTAAATCGCTAAATATCAACGCCGTTTGACGTTCTTTTTCAGTTTCTCATTAGATTTCAATTTCTTAGACAGACATGGCGCAGTGGTTAGTACGACTGCCTGCGACGCAGAAGGTTCTGGGTTCAATTGCTGGTGGGGACACTCATAAAGTTGATATTTATCACTTTTTGAATTTGTTTCCAGTCTGGTTAGGAAATTGCAGGCTGAACCACATTGTCCACGTTATCCACATTGGCACGTTAAGCTGTCAGTCCCGGTTGCTGTCTATGATGGCGGTCGTTACACAAGTATGTCAGAGGTCTGCTACTTGCAGTAGCTGGTTGAAAAGCTCTGACAACAGGGTTCATCGGGTCGTTGGTTGACTTGGTGTGCCACTCAAAAAAGAAGAAGTTCCTTTTTTTTAGTTATTAGAATAATAATAGCACTGTGAGTGCATTAAAAACCCTATTTAAACCATGCTAAATTTTTTGTACCGAATTAAGTAACTTAAAACCAGTAGTTTTATAGCAAAATTTTAATAAACACGGTTATTCTTTGAAAGATACTTGATCAATATTAGACTCGATGACATTATTAACTTTGAATAGTTTGCGTTTAGAATTAATTAAAAAGTTTCACCAACAAGACGGCGGCTTTGCTTTAATCATTATTCTAAGATAACTTCTCCTATCTAATATCACACCAAGCTTTATTAATATAAGGGTCAGCTTACACTGCGACTAGCGTTGCTGAACTATCAATAGGCAATTACTGCCGATGGGTAGTTTTGTGTAAACGGTTGTAAAACTCTGACACTAGGGTTCATCGGGTCGTAGGGCGACAATTTTTTTTTCACTTTTCAACCCATGTTCCATGAGAAAGTAGTTCAGTTTCATCAGTACCTTGATCTTCATTCGGGTTTATTTTTTGTTTTGTAATATGTTGTATGAATTTTATTTTACTTATGGTAAATTTTATTGCGTATTTAGAAAAATCATTTAAAACATCTTGCAAATAATCAAAAAGTGAATAGTAGTAACATTTTTTTAATGTGACTAGAAATAATCGATTATAAAAAACGATTTTTCATTTCTCATGTCACATCCCTAGTCTCTAGTAAAACCACAAAGTAAGTATTGGCTAGTGGTAAAACTGTGGCAGCCATCATACAAATGTGGTGACATGTGTCATAATAGTACCGGGTTTTAAGAACTAATTTCATCAAAAATTTGACCCGGTAAAATACCGAAAAAGAATGTAGTGCGTGTGTAAACAACCTTGCATAGGTGTTTTTTTTTCGACCTAAACTTTCAGTTCTTTTTTTCTAGTTTGAGGCACTGTTTTGTTCCGTCATAATTTATTTTTCAGTGTGAACTGGACCTTATCTTCATTTTCTATCGTCGCAAAAGTTTTGTCTGTTTTTCATTGAATATAAAGTTATAAGTCAGTAATTGTACATCATTTAAGTAGGTATGTACAGCAGTTTTCGAATCGAGTACGAAATACACTACTACTTTTAGATACAAGTTTATTTCATTTATAATATATTGCATCAGTTATATTAAATTACTTTATTTTATTTCATTAGCGTTATGAAGATTAAAACACGTTATATTTTGTAGACACAGAGTGACACAAGTCAATATTGAAAATGTAATATTGCTTGCTATGTAAATACCAATTTCATTAATTATGTGTATGTGTGAATAACATTTTATTGTAATACATGTCGTACTTATACCGTACTGGTGACCGATAGCGAAAAAGTAGAATCAGCTTTCCCTAAGGAACAGGGGTCGAAATATAAAAAAAAATTTGGACCTTCCATAGCTCAAATCAGCTTATCCGCAAATTTGTATGAAAGGTCTACTTTTTTAAATATTTTGCCTAATGTTTCCTGGGGAAAGTTGTTCCTTATCACTCATCCTTCTTTTTTGCTGTCGGTCACTAGTAAAATTTCACTCTTTATGAGCCGAACGTACCTGGGTAGGAGGTATAACTCGATTTTTATAACTGTGCGCATGAGGCTGTCAAAATATGTACGGGATCTGAGAGTTGAACTGTCAAATCGTATGGAATTTTTGATAGCTCCATGTAAAAATCGAGTTAAAGGTGCGGAATAAAAAATCAAGTTTACAGACTTCTATCTATCCCTTTGGCGAATACCACACCTGATGTCCGTTGATACTAAGGAGTCAATGAACGATACAATGAAATCAAAATAAGTATAACCTTTAAGCCTTTTATAAATAATTTTTGATCACTTTAATATTGTAACGGTTCAGTTCAGCCGTTCACGCACAAATATAATTCCTTAATATTAATATATTTACTAACAATATGCTTTGTTTATGAGCACATTTTGGATGAAAGTCATCTTTCGATAATGCATAATTCTTTCATACCATAAATTGCGCTCAGTTTAAACACAAATATGAGAATCGATGCATTTTGTTGGTGGCAACAGAAACTCCAAAGATAATTGATCTTTAGCTTATAAAAAATAAACTTATCATCTTTTGAAACCCTTTATGTTTCATAGTAGACCAGAAATAATATTTTCATATTCCCAAATTAATGTTGATCTAGCCAATTCGTGCATAGTAGCACCATCTATCGATATTATACAGAAAGTAGCCGAATGATTCGTGACGTGAGGCAACATGAGCCGTATTGTCAGTGCGTTGTATTACGAATGATATCTGAGTAAAAAGAAAGGAGTCAGAAAGAGAGAACCGATTGATTGTGGGTCGTGCTGGTGTAGTCAGCGCGTGTACTTTTTCTATGAAAAAAATGAAAAACATTCCAGCACATCGAACTGTATTTCACTAACGTGAGAAGGGCGGCGATTGGTCGTAACAGCGGCGTAACATGGTCTGAGGGAAATTCCTACTGGTTGATTACTTATTTCGACCAACCAGACTCCGACTGCCCGGCGCGGTAGGATACCCGCCGCGGGGTGCGCGGGCGGCGTGGCGTGAGCGGCCGCCGGCCTGAGACGCGGCACTTTTTTTCAGGACGGCTGAGCGCGCGGCCGGGTGCGACTGCCGGCTGCCCGGACACCACGCTCGGTGCGGCGCCATTTTCCTTTAGTTAAATTTGAAGAAACCCTGGTAAGGCCTTTTATTTTCTCTGATTTTACAATTTTTATTCCATTGTATTTAAAAGTGGTTTTGATTTTTCTGTGTTATTTTGTGCCTAGGATGTACGTTGCTGGCAGTTCGCGTGTGTTCTATTTTGCGGTTTCTAGATTAATTTTCATTGTGTTGCTACCTCGTGTTTATTCTACCTGTTTCCCATTTGTCTTTTACGTATGTGATAAACGTAATCATGCCATTGATAAATTCTAACTGTTTTGCAAGTATGTATAGTGCGTGAGTGATAGCGGCTAGCGGGAAGACGGAAAATCGCCGCGAACAGTTTTGTTTCTACCCTCTTATTCTTGCTTCGCGGTGGCGTCATCATTCCTATGGCGGGTCTCACACCTGACATCCGTCGCTGCGCATTTTTCGCTCACACAATTTGTATGAGAAGATGGCATATTGCAGGTAAATGGAAAAGTAGGTAGATAAAACAGGATAACCGAGTGAGTATGACATTATTGACAGTGGGCTCGATAGGCAAAGTTGGGGTGAAAAAATTCGTTACCGTTTTAACCGACTGTTGAAAACAGGGTGTCACTTCGATATGTGTGTAAAGGAAACCTCTAAACCCAAGTAACCGACTACGAAAATTGTTGTGAGTAGGTGTGTAAGTTGTATGTACATCAGGGTGTTGGTACGGTGTGTTTCTTGTTGTGAACAATGGCGAGCTGTCCAGCAGTGGAATCGCAATCCGGTTTATTTGGACAAAAGATTTGTACATATTATAATAGGTTAGCGTTGCAAGTAAAGTAGATGATTGGTGAGACAATACCGCCAACCTTCGTAGTAGGTAGGTAGATTATTTACTGAAGCTCATGTCTAGCAGTGGAGTGTGGTGTTTAAAGGTGTGTAAAACCGATTAATGATGTAGTGATGCCCATATTAGGTAGTGGATAGTGATGAAATAGCATAATTTGTTCATACAACTTACTTTACGGGATGACTTTAGAATACTGACCCACGAATATTGGGTAACTAAAGGTCGCATTCTTCAGGGGACAATTCTAGCTTTCATTTGATACCATTTTCAAAGTGAGGA